TACTCTAAGCCTCTTGCATTTTGATCTATGAAATAGGATAATATTCTACCACTGGGTTCTTCTGAAGATTAAATGATATCATGTGTGTGAAAACACTAGCAGAGAAACTAGCATCAGCAGGTGCTCAGTGCATGGTGGTAAGTAAAATTTCAGGTCTTGTAATATTTCTCAGGGAATAAATTATTCCTTACAAAAAAGTCAAACAGGGGCTGGCCTGTGGCTCACTCGGGAGAGTGCGGTGCTGATAGCACCAGGACCACGGGTTCGGATCCCATATAGGGATGGCCGGTTCGCTCACTGGGTGAGCGTGGTGCTGACAACACCAAGTCAAGGGTTAAGATCCCCTTACCGGTCATCTTTAAAAAAAAAAAAGTCAAACAGGCTGCAAGTTCTAACTCAGAGATTACTTTCCACCAGAAAACATGAAAACCTTACACCACAAACGAATGCAAATAAATATAAAGTAGGACAAATTAAAAACATGAATAAATAATATAAAGTACCTTGTATACTAGTGGCACAATGGGCATTTGGTCAAACAGAAGGACATGAGGTTTATTCTCTTGCTGCCAGCCAGAGAGGAATCTGACATAATTTTTATTTGTAACCTTAAATTGAAAATAAAATGTTAGTTTCAATATTCTGTTCTTACCAACTGTACTATACTCCAGTGAAGAGATAAATAAATCAAGTACATGTAAAAGATTGCTTGTGAAAAATAAAAAATACAGACAACTAATCTTTTTGTATCCATTTGACTAAAACTATTAAAAGGACAAAGATACTAATTTCACACTTTCTTTTTGGCTATCTTTCTATTTATCAATTTATGTTGGTGGCTGGCTGGCACGAAGAACCGAATCCCTGACCTTGGTGTTACAAGACCGAGCTCTAACCAGCCAGACTGCTTTTTATTTATTTATAATTGACATAATAATCATTCATATTTGTGGAGTACAATGTGATGTTTCAATGTATGTACACATAGCACAATGATCAAATCAGGGTAATTTGCATATCTATCACTTAAAAAATTTATCATTTTTGTTGATTGCATATTTTCATTTGTTTCATTTGTTACAAACTGAAATCATAATCCTGTCTGGAACAATAACTGACCATGTTATAAAAACTGAACTTCTGAAGTTGGTTCTTGCTTAATTTATGGAGTGCACTTAACCTCCTAAACCACAGAAGATAATGCAACAGTTGCCCTATTTAAATGGCTTAAATAAAAATAAGGTGGCCCACCCCATTTATATATTACATAATTTCATTTAGTGCCATCTGAATTGTTACTTTTTCCCTGTTTATGTCTTACCATATTCCTACTGAGAAAACAAATTAAAAACATGAATAAACTAAATTTCTAGCTAGAAATTTTTTTACTAATTAAAAAAAAATTATGGTATACACTGTATCCAGAAAGATCTATATAAAACCCAAATCTGAGGGCCAGCCCGTGGCTCACTTGGGAGAGTGTGGTGATGATAACATAAGGCCATGGGTTCGGATTCTATATAGGGATGGCTGGTTAGCTCACTTGGGAGAGCATGGTGCTGACAACACCAAGTCAAGGGTTAAGATCTCCTTAACGGTCATCTTTAAAAAACAAAAAACAAAAAGCCACCCAAATCTGATCATTGCATTCCTCAAACCCTTACAATAGCTCCTTCCCCTGCAGGACAGGCCAAAGTTCCTTAAAGGGGCGCGGAGGTGCTCCGATGCTCTCACGGTGAGATTCCTGCTAACCCCTCAACCTCATCTTCTCCCCCTCACCAATGATTACTTCATA